CTCTTTGTGAGCACAGCTACACCACAAGCTTTTGTTCATTTGACCTCTCGCTGTCAGTAAAGTTAAAGAGCTATCAGACAGATTAATTCACAGTTAACAACAACAACTACAACAATAATAATAATAATAACAATAATAATAATAAAATTAATGATGATAATGATGGTTTTTCCATCTGAATTTACATGACCAAATCGTAAGGCAAATTATTCAGTAACTGCATGAAAAAAATGTAAATTTTTATTTTATTTATTTATTTTTGTAAAAGTTCCCCTCAAATTAACAGAAAATGTGTTTTATGATCACACATATCGCTATATGCTTAAATTTACTGCTGAAAGCCAGACGCTCTTTGTATTATTTTATAAAAGTAATTTTTACAGAGCAGATCACTGAAGAGATGCCATCTGTTTATAGTTTATAGCCCAGATTTGTGGAAAAATGGGTCGACTTTCAGTAGACAAAAAAAGAGTTCAGCTTCTTTTAATATAAGGGTTTAAAATTACATCACCCATCTATTTGACTGGAAAGAAGACAGTTACAGCTCTCATATGACCCCCACCTTCTGAATGTAGCTTATGAAATATGAAAGTTATGAAGAATATGACCAAGTGCATTTTGGAACCACCGGTGGTCTCAAAGAGTTGAAGAGGTTAATCAATCAATTTACAATACATTTTTAATGCTCATATTTGTGTGTATATTATTAGGAACACCTGTACAAATGCACAGTCATGCAGTTATCCAGCCTGTGATGCAGCAGTGCAGAGCGTAAAATCATGCAGACAGAGGTCAAAACCTTAATGTTCACAACAAACATCACAATGGGGAAAATGTGATCTGAGTGACTGTTATTACAGCACTGTGCTGGTGCTAGACGGGGTGTTTGGATATTTCAGAGATACATTCCGTGTACAAGTGATTTTCACGCTTCACTTGTACACAGACTGGTGAGAAAAACAAGGTCAGAGGAGAATCGCAAGACGTTTTTGAGCTGACAGGAAGGCTACAGTCACAGTAGTGATCAGAAAAACATTAGTGCAAAACAAACTTTTGAAGATTGGAAAAACGTTGCCTTGTCTGATGAAAACTGATTTCTACTGCAGTTTGCTGAAGCTGGGGTCAGAATGGCGTTGTGTTAGCAGTTAAAGCTGGTGGTGGTGTAATGGTGTGGCGGTTTGGGGTATTCTTGGCACACATTGCACACCCCAATACCAATAGTGCATCATTTGAATGCCGCAGCCTATCTGAGTGTTGTTGCTGACCATGTGCATCATTTTATGGCCACAATAACCCATCACAAAGCACAAATTGTCTCAAACTGGCTTCATGTGTGTGAGCGTGAGTTAGATCCGAATCAAGTAGAGAACATGGTAGAACTGAAGATTGAGGGGATTCATACAAATCTGTATGTGATTCTGTGCTAGTTATATTGATTAATTGTTAAAAGGACGTACAGATTACTTGATTACTAATATATTTAGCAGTGACTGCCCTACTGCTAATATATACATCAGGTTTTGAGAGATGATATGGCCCTGTCATCTTTAAATGCGCTTTCTGCATCTGTTGAAGTCTGTGGCGTAGCTGTAATTACAGGCAGGAACTCGGTTACAGCAAGTTTGGCCCGAGCGTGACGACTAAAATAAAACTGATGCTTTGCCAAGCTGAGCTGTTAGGTGCTAAATATTCCACTTCAGTAAAAGCGTTATGTTGCGTGTAGTGCAGAAAAACAGCAGTTCACTGTGAAATGGAGCTTGTATGTCACTGTTTTTCTCTTTCTCTCTGTCTCTCTCTTTTTTCAAGGTTACAAAGGGGGAAACGTTGACCTAAACATCTTGCCGCTGAGGACAAGAAGAATGGCCGCTCAGTTTTTTCCTCTTTTTCATTCAACAACCTATCAACTGTCAATCAACTGACTGTTTTGGACCAGCCTCTTAAAGCCCAAATTAGGAACTGCTGAAGCACCACCACTGGACTGGATCTGCAAAAAGGGATCTTGGAAAAACGTACATACTGTATGTTTTAAGGGGGAACTCTTTGAAAGCTTTGACAGCTGCAGCAATTCCTGATTGGGGCTTTAATGTGTGGGACCATTGTAATTACATCAATGAGCATTTTAAGTATGTTCCACAATCTCTGCCTCAGTATGAACAACATTATTTTGTTTTTGATCCTCAAATTGGGGTCAGTTGACTTGTTACTGTCTTTGTGTTGCTTGCACATGAGATCAGTCCTCCTTTTAACTTCGCTGTCAGGCTTGGCCAGCTATTAAAAACATGCAGACTCAGACACTAAACCTTTTAGATATATTGACTAGTGTTGAATAAAATAACCAGTAAATCTAAAATGGAAATTAATTGACGGTTATTTTTTTTTTTTAAACCGAACAAGAATTAACATACTTTGCCCCTTGTGTGTTTAACCCATTTCTTTATATGTTTTGTAATTGTGAAATGCAAAAGCCTGCATTTGCAGAAACATAGCTGCCCTGTGACAGTCTCTCATGCAGTAGAGCATCTTAGCATCTTCACGCAGTGACTGGTAATGCGTGGTGGGTGGGGGGAGTTTCTAAAGTGCCAATAAGACCATGTTGAAGTGACGGGTGCATCTCTGCAGCAGTGCTGTTTTGTCTTTTATTTAATGCTCATACATTGATGTTTTGTGGTTTAAAAAGGAAATAAAATGTCAAGTTACTCTGTCGAGTTTGTGGTTTTTGTTCATGTGAGCCTCAAAGCATTATTGCCTTTATAACTTCATGTCAGGGTGTTTAAAGCCACACTGTGAAATGTGTGGATTTGGAGACCTCTCTGGTGGAAATGTGTAATTGCAAGCATGATGATTGTGAGCTCATTGTAAGATTATTCAACGAGAACTTGGTGAAGGACTTCTGAGGGTGTGGGTGAATTGTCTACTGCTGTGATCATGTATTCATCAGTGTAATGTTGTTTTTGCATTTGAGACTTAAACTTTTGAGCCAGACCTTCTTTTTGAGCCTCTATGTGTGACATTAATACGTAAAGACATATGACGTGGTGTGAAAAAATCATGACCCGACACCTCAGGGCGACTCACAGCAGCACATAAACACCATAATTTAGCCTGTTTTTTCTTGAGTCAGTGAGGCCACTTAATTAGATTTTAGATAGATAGATAGATAGATAGATAGATAGATTCTTTATTGATCCCGAAGGAAATTTAGCAGTCACACAACACAGGACAGTACACTCTCTTTAACAAGAGAACTTACATAGTGCAGCTTTACTAATCACAAATAATGTTTAGCAGTTTTTATTTAGCTTTGCAAGTACAAAAAGCTATGTTTTGCTCTTTTCTCCATATGCATTATGTGAAAACAGTGTTGGATCCATCCAGTAATTTCCGCTTTTTGGATGTAGGATCACTTGCTTTTGCAAAAACTCGCAGTGATATCAAAGACACAGTGTCATTAATGTGAAGCACTTATGAGTAACTTTAAGCGTGTTGTATACTTGCTGAGCAAAGCAGTGTCTTTTGGTTTGAATGTGTGAGGTGTGTTGTGCGCTGCATGCTAACAGAACTCCTAATCACTTTTCTGAGACGCCCCCCCCCGACTGCAATTGGTCCCTATGACCAGCATCATTTATTCCGAGATTCCCGCTGACTGCAAGCGGAGGTGAGACATGCATCGAGTTATTTTAAGTACTTAGGACAGTGCGTCTGTCGGTAGTTTGATTGCGTTCTTTCAGTATTTAAAGTGTACTGCCAGCTTAAAGCTGATTGAGTGCTAACACCGCCCCCTTATGGAGAATCTTCAGCCTGCCAAATGTGAGTTACAAGTCAGGACCATGAAGTACTTCGCATCCAAAAACATTAATCTCTCTAATGGTGGTCACTCAAAATTCCCTGGGCTGTACACTTGTTAAGCATCCGTGTATGTATGGTGTGCAATGGAGGAATAAATACATGTTTTAAGTTTGAGGATTTGATCATTCATTCAGAGGCTTTGATTTTGAATTAAATATTTGTTAATTTTATGTCCACACTTACACAGGCACAAAAGAAATGAGGCCAGTTTGTGCTTTTGGTAGAGGTAAAAGCTGGATATTTCTTATTTGCTGATACACACTCTTTCTTTACTGCTGCTGCACAGAATCAAAAAATGTAATAATAACCATTGCTTCACCTGTTTTCCCCTTTTCTGCATTTTACTATTTTAGACTAATGCTGTTAGCTAACCAGTGTCGACCAGAGGTGGATGGGTTCCCCTTTTGAGTCTGGGTTCCTCTCAAGGTTTCTTTCTCTTGCTTTTAGGAAATTTTTCCTTGCCACTGGCGACACTGGCGATGCTGATGGAGACTCGGACCCGGATTTTCCTAGTGCTATATAAATAAACTTTAACTTGACTTGACTTTAGTTTCTTACATTTCTTCTTGCATTTCATTCCTGTTTTGTAAATGTGCTCTGCAGTAGTTCTTTTTTACAGCCACTAGATGGCAGCACAGTTCCACTGGCTCGCATGCAACCAATACAGCTATCAGTATATATATATAGTTTTTTTAATGCATAGTTCAGTTTGACATCTCAGTATGTTTATATGTAGTCAGTATATATATATATATATATATATATACACTATATAAATGCATTTTACATATACTATTATGCTTTATAATTTTAATTTTTATAAATATTTTGCTCTTTGAGCTTATATATATTTAGTAAGGATTCTAACATTCATGGCATTATTTAAAAAATATTTGAAAATAATTTATATATATATATATATATATATATATATATATATATATATATATATATATATATATACAGTTAGCTCAAAAACTCTTTTTTTGTTTAATGCCATTGGTTCAGTTTCCCTAAAATTCCTTTAAATCTCTAAACCGTTAAAATTCTGTATATTACCAGTTTAAAGGCAGCACCATTGGTTCAGTTCAGGGATCTTTCAATAGGGACTTTACTTTTGAATTATATTGGTTACGATACTTCCGTTTTCTGTATCCGATGCGTATTGCTGCCGTAGCGTGTTGCTTTAGTTTATCCAGTGATGGTTTATTATGTTGTGTATTAAAGTCCTCTCTGTGCTGAAGAAGACATGAAGCGCTCGTTCGGTCGGGATTTAAGCGGGGGTCTGGAGAACGTTCCCGTTTTGATAGAGACCAGTGAGCCCGAGGACGCGTTCCCCAAATTCCAGGCACTGCTTTTCATCTCTTACTCTTATATAATCTCGCCTTACACGGGATATTATATATATTCGTAAATGTTGAAGCATTAAACACTTGTTTCTGTTGAAGGCGAGTCTTTATGTGCCTGCTTAGTGCATTTTAACCCTGTTTTTGAGTGCGTGCTGCGCAGTAGTTATTTTAACAGCCACTAGATGGCAGCACAGTCACACTGGCGCACACTCAGTACAGTCCATTTAAGTCGAGGTTTGATGATGTAGAGTTTAAAATGCTAAACATTAAATATTATTACATCACCTTGTTTTATATAAATGCTGTTTAAAGAGCCCATATGCTGTTATTTTTGTGTTTGTAGACATGTTTGTGTTTATATGAACTAAAAATAGTCAAAAATATTTTTTACACAACCACTTTCCGACCTTTCTTTGTCCCTTTATTTTTCCTTTCTGATAATCTTTTTGCTTTTATATATTTAAAGCATGTTGAACCGAATTCATGTGTATGAAATGTGCTGTATAACTAAACTGGCCTTGCCTTAGAATTAAACAGGCTGTTTTTGTAACTGTGTCTTGCACTGCGTCTCATTCCAAAAGATGTCCAGGCTGAAACACATTTTAGTGTGAGTGGGCGGAGCTAAGCTGCTCTAGGCTAAAATATGCAAATGTGTTTTTGTGACCTCACAAATGTGTTTTGACAGCTTTTTTTGATGTATGGACATGGGAGGGTACACTTTAAAACTTTGCTTACATATGATATCAAACTCTTATTTCAGGAAAAAACGGGAAACGGTTGTTTTTTCTTGATATGGGCCCTTTAACAGGTTTAAAGGTTTAATACTATTTTTGATTATGAGGTCAGGTTTCAGTGACATTTTCAATATTTGATAAAATGCCTTGATTCTACGGAGCTCTGATTATATACTACACAGATTGGAATGGCTCTGAAAACGATGAAGCCGAACTATAAACAATATAAAAAAAGACAAGATGCCTCAGATGCTTAGTTCTATTCTGTACACTATTTTGACTGTTTATTTTTATAGATGTTTGATATTGTTTCAAAATTGGTCCCTTAAAGTCAGAGAGGGCTTCTTTTATTGAACCCCTTAAACTGCAAGGGTCTGTATCTGGACCCATGCTTTCGTAATGGTCACTCAGTTATTTATAGGAGCCAAACATAAAGTCTTCATGTTAATAAAGGAATACTGTGTCTGCAGTTGTTGTGGGTGAACATTAAGTTTATTCTAGAGACTAATGCTGTTTTTTTATGTGTGCACTGCAGTACAGTCCAGAGAACATTCAGGGTCCAGGCTGTGACATTGACCCGAGCGAAGTGACCCTCCCTGGTTGCTCCTGCCGCTCGCAGTCCTGCCTGCCGGACAGCTGCCCGTGCTTGTGCTTCGGGCAGGCCTACACCAGCGAGGGCTGTTTGGTGGAGCAGCGAGAAGAGGAGGCCAGCCTGGGCTACAACCAGCCTGTGTTTGAGTGTAACGTCCTGTGTGAGTGCAGCGAGGCCTGCCAATCCCGCCTGGTCCAAAACGGGGTGCGTGTACGTCTGGGAGTGTTTCGTACTCAGGACCGCGGCTGGGGGGTTTTGGCTCTGGAAGCGATCCCACAAGGCTGCTTCGTTTGTGAGTACGCTGGGGAGGTGATCGGCTTCCAGGAGGCCCGGAGGAGGCAGCTGTCCCAAACCGCTGAGCACATGAACTACATCATCGCCGTCCAGGAGCACGGGGGCAGGCAGCAGCTTAGCCGGACATTTGTGGACCCGGCCGCTGTGGGCAACGTGGGTCGCTTTCTGAACCACTCATGCCAGCCTAACCTGGTGATGGTGCCCGTGCGTGTGCACTCGCTGGTGCCCAGGCTGGCGCTGTTCACCAGCCGAGACGTAGAGGCGGGCGAGGAGCTCACCTTCGACTATGCTGGAGGACACGTCACCAGCACGCAGACACACTCACACAGACTGGGACCTCAGACTGAACCTGGAGCTCCCCAGAGGAAAGTATGTCTCTGTGGAGCACCGAACTGCACTGGAGTTTTACCTTTAGACATCTCAGTCCTGCACTAATAAGACAGATTTTCCCTCTTTTACAATTCTGTTCAAATTAAAGGGGAATTCCACCAGAATTTCTGCATGATAAAATCTTTAATATGTAAACCAGTCATTCAGAGTGTTTTGATGTGAAAAGCTTCATTCTAGAGAAACTTTCAGTGGTGCTGATGGGAACCAGACGTCTGAAAGTTCCCTCACAGAAAGTTATTATGTTAAATGGTTACCACTATGCCGGCCGATGTCTGATAGTTTTGAGCAGATATGTGCAGGGCGTTTTATAGCAAAATATTCCCCAAAGAAAACTATTTTTTTTTCAGATTTATGAATATTTCACCATCATCATCATTACATATAGAACTCAGAAGACACATGTAGGTTCACTGGTAGTTTTGGATAGTAAATAAAATGGTTATATTTGTGTTGTACACAATGTGACCCCTGGTTCCCATCACCACCACTGTAAAGAAATCTGAGTCTGTAAGTTTTTCTACAATGAACCATTTCAGATCAAACCACTCTGAGTGACTCAGAAATTTTGAAAAATCAGTGAAATTCCCCTTTAACTGATTTAACTTAATTTCCATAATTAATGCACATGGAAATACAGTAGCGTTGCACTACCAGTTTATAGGGTAGTTTCTTATCAGTACATATGAGTCTGTATGTATTAATGAGCTGTTGCTGCAGAGTTAGTGTTGTGTTTGTATCTCTCTTCTTAGACAATTATAAATAAATTCAGATTAATTTATTGAATGTTACACTGAATATTGTAGCAGCAATTCTATCTATGCACTGACATTTAAAGACATTTAATGAGAGATTTTTTGTCATTTTCTCACTCTTTGGCAGTTGTATTCAGATTAACTTACTGAATGTTTATATTCCTGCATTATCACCAAGTTCAGCACAATTATATGTTTAACCTACATATATTACAATAGCGTTGCAGTGTGCAGTATATCTGCAAAGTTCTTAATGATAACTTTATATGCTCCGATCAGCCTCCTCTACCCTACAGCTTATTGGTCAGTTGTGATAAAACAAGTAGAATCTCTATGCGCTGCTCATTTCCTGGATGCATTTTTGAGTCGCCTTCCCCTTTAAGGGCACCAGAAGCTTTTCATTGGACCCAAAGCTCAGGAGTAATAAGCAATTAAAAAGAGCCTTTGGGTGTTTGGATATAGTAACAGATCTTTCTCCCCAGCCGCTGATGGAGGGGGCCAAAGTGACCCACTTCAGCAAAGTCTCCATTCTTAAATCCGGCCCTTCTCTCCTTCATATCTCTGCCCCATTTCCAGCCTGGACCTGTATTCATCTCCTCGCCGATATTAATATCCTCATCTGGGTTAATTAGCCCAGAGACTAGAGACGGAGAGCAGAGCTCCAGAAATGAGAGCAGACCACGAGGCAGGGCTTGGATAGGAGCAGATCCACTCTGCCCGCGTCAGTAGAGTAAATATTACACTCCAGCGTCTGCTGCGTTAACCTACACAAAGTATTCTGCTGCATAACACAGGTAGAGTAGGGAGTCCCTGCAGTTAACAGAGTCGAAGTGAAGGAGAGAAGGCAGACATTCCAGCAGTGGAGTACCTTTCATGCTCATATACAGAATGTTTAAAATATATATTATATTGTTTGTTTAAATGTAAGGGCCTATATGAACTGAGCAATGGTGAATGTGGTAGAGGGGGTTACGGTGACCTATTGTACACCTATACAATGGCCTTATACAGTAAATGGAGCTCATAAAGTGGTTGAAAGTACAAGGTAGATGTTCCTACTAAAGTGGTCAGTGAGCGAAGGATAAGATGGGTGTTTCTAATAAAATGGCCAGTGAGTGGAAGTGCTAGGTCGATGTTCCTAATAAAGTGGCCAGTGAGCAGCTGGACAAGGTAGAAGTTTCTAATAAAGTGGCCACTGAACGGAAGGTCAAGGTAGCTGTTTCTAATAAACTGGCCAGTGAGCAGAAGTACAAGGTAGGTGTTTCTAATAAAGTGGCCAGTGAGTGAAGGGACAAGATAAGGGTTTCTAATAAAGTGGCAGTGAGCAAAAGGACAAGGTAGATGTTCTAATAAAGTGGCAGTGAGCAAAAGGACAAGGTAGGTGTTTCTAATAAAGTGGTCAGTGAGCAGAAGGACAAGGTAGGTGTTTCTAATAAAGTGGCCACTGAACAGAAGGTCAAGGTAGCTGTTTCTAATAAACTGGCCAGTGAGCAGAAGTACAAGGTAGGTGTTTCTAATAAAGTGGCCAGTGAGTGAAGGGACAAGATAAGGGTTTCTAATAAAGTGGCAGTGAGCAAAAGGACAAAGTAGGTGTTCCTAATAAAGTGGCCTGTGAGCAGAAGGACAAGGTAGGTGTTTCTAATAAAGTGGTCAGTGAACGAAAGGACAAGGTAGGCGTTTCTAATAAAGTGGCCACTGAGCAAAAGGACAAGGTAGGTGTTTCTAATAAAGTGGCCAGTGAGCAGGAGGACAAGGTAGATGTTTCTAATAAAGTGGCCACTGAGTAGAAGTACAAGGTAGGTGTTTCTAATAAAGTGGCCACTGAGCAAAAGGACAAGGTAGGTGTTTCTAATAAAGTGGCCAGTGAGTGAAAGGACAAGATAGGTGTTTCTAATAAAGTGGCCAGTGAGCAGGAGGACAAAGTAGATGTTTCTAATAAAGTGGCCAGTGAGCAAAAAGATAAGATAGGTGTTTCTAATAAAGTGGCCACTGAGCAAAAGGACAAGGTAGGTGTTTCTAATAAAGTGGCCAGTGAGCGGAAGGACAAGGTAGGTGTTTCTAATAAAGTGGCCACTGAGTGAAGGGACAAGATAGGTGTTTCTAATAAAGTGGCCAGTGAGTGGAAGTACTAGGTCGATGTTCCTAATAAAGTGGCCAGTGAGCAGGAGGACAAGGTTACAGTGACCTATTGTACACCTATACAATGGCCTTATACAGTAAATGGAGCTCATAAAGTGGTTGAAAGTACAAGGTAGATGTTCCTACTAAAGTGGTCAGTGAGCGAAGGACAAGGTAGGTGTTTCTAATAAAGTGGCCAGTGAGGGGAAGGACAAGGTAGGTGCTTCTAATAAAGTGGCCAGTGAGGGGAAGGACAAGGTAGGTTTTTCTAATAAAGTGGCCAGTGAGGGGAAGGACAAGGTAAGTGTTTCTAATAAAGTGGCCAGTGAGGGGAAGGACAAGGTAAGTGTTTCTAATAAAGTGGCCAGTGAGGGGAAGGACAAGGTAAGTGTTTCTAATAAAGTGGCAGTGAGTGAAAGGACAAGATAGGTGTGTCTAATAAAGTGGCAGTGAGCAAAAGGACAACGTAGGTGTTTCTAATAAAGTGGCCACTGAGCAAAAGGACAAGGTAGGTGTTCCTAATAAAGTGGCCAGTGAGCAGGAGGACAAGGTAGATGTTTCTAATAAAGTGGCCAGTGAGCAGAAGGACAAGTGTTTCTAATAAAGTGGTCAGTGAGCGAAAGGACAAGTAGGCGTTTCTAATAAAGTGGCCACTGAGCAAAAGGACAAGGTAGGTGTTTCTAATATAGTGGCCACTGAGCAAAAGGACAAGGTAGGTGTTTCTAATAAAGTGGCCAGTGAGTGGAAGTACAAAGTAGGTGTTTCTAATAAAGTGGCCAGTGAGCAGATGTACAAGGTAGGTGTTTCTAATAAAGTGGCCAGTGAGTAGAAGGACGAGGTAGGTGTTTCTAATAAAGTGGACAGTGATGAGTGTATTGCTGATCATATAGCTTGAATTACACTGTTTGTAATGATAAAGTGGATTGTCTGTCTCTGCAACTTCGACTTACAAACTGTAAGGACCTACAGCATGGAAAATCAAGTTTCCTTTGCTTTTTTGAAGGATGAAAAAAGTGTTTGATGTAGTTTTCTAACATTATTAAAGTGTACCGTTACTCCCCAGTCCTTCCAGTCCATATACGGAAGCTAAGCTGTAAAAACAGCTTGTTTTAGTTTCACTGTTTATTTGAATTAATTTACATCATAAGTGGACCTCTGAGAAAAAAAAAAGAAAATAAATATAACAAAAATGTAAGATTTGACCCAGTTAAAATATTTTTCCATGTGGTTGATGTTCAAAACCCTTCAGTGGTGAAAACATCATGTTCTATTGGTTTATTTTAAGTGTAAATAATTCTTACGTTGCAAAGTGTGGGCACAACCTTTTTATTAATATCTATTTGCCCTATAAAACTCTCACATAATGACAAATAATGTCTACAAGGCCCACATTGCCTACATTACAAGATGCTTTTTCCTGCTAAGATTTCTTTTTTTTCCCAAAAAAATTAGATAACGTCTAGGCACTGTTGGTGCAGTAGATAGACATGTTCAAACTTGGCTTTTAGAGAGTCCCTCCAAAGTTCAGCCTATTTCCAGCTAATCATCAGCTAATTATGAAAGTCATCATGAGCTCAGTAAGTGGTGTTAGAACAGGAGAAAACTCTCTATACAAAGAAAGACTCTTTATAGGATTATACTGTATTGATCAACACATTTAATCCTGCCATGAGATGAGCATTTAGCACCGAGTGCTTCCTGTAAGCACAGATTTTAAAACCTGGAAATGGTGATTGGTTAGTAAATGGGTATTTTTTGTCCAATAAGTACTTTGTGGTTGCAATAAATGGTTCTAGTCATGTTTTTCCCAGCATGCATGTTGGCCCTGCCTTTATCTGTGCCATTAGGAACAGTGTTTATTAGTCTATCTCTATGAAAATCTCACTTCACTAGAAAAGCTTACTTTTGTTAGTGGTTTCACGATTAGAATTGACAATGATCAAAATCTGCCGATATTTGCAAGGACTGATTTATTTTTTAATTTTTGGCTGATCATTGTAAGAATTTTATGAGGCAAACTAGAAAACTGCACATCCTTAAGAAAATGCAGAGTAGTTTAACAGCTTAAAGGTGCAGTCTATAAGATTTAGTGGCATCTAGTGGTGAGGTTGCAAATTGCAACCAACTGAATACCCCTCCCTCACACCTCCCTTTCCAAGTGTGTGGTAGAACCTATGGTGGCTGTTATGTTTTGGCTTCTTTGATGACAAAGATTCTCCCTCTCTTGCTTTTTCTTGTGCTAAATAAAAAGTTTAATCCTCTATTTGTCAAAATTCGGGTTCTCAAACTTCTCACAACACAAAATGGCAGCAACCATCTTCTTCTTTGTTGGTGCTATAGCGCTGCCAAATTCAAGCTGCCTGTAAAACGTGGAAAGGCACTCTCTAGAGTCAGTGTTTGGTTTGTCTGCTCTGGGCTACTGTAGAAACATGGAAGCGCAGCATGCCAGCCTCTGTTGGAACAGGAGCCGCTCCCTATTCATACAACTGTGATTCATAGTCACAGGTGATTATACACCAATGTAAATATGGTTT